CAATCTCCTGCTCATCTCTTATCAAACATTTACTGCTTCTGATAGTCCCCTGTTCCATTCCTCAGCACCGCCTGTCTAGCAACTCCTGCATTCCTCTGCCCCATCCCATGCCACGTTCCCCTATATAAGCTTGTAAGAAATCCTCAATAAATGGAGCTTGATCAGCCGTGTTGTCTTGCTCTCATTCTCTGTGTCTCCTGTCCCTCATTTGTTTCCACCCAGGATAGCCCACGTTGACTTATTCCCAGGGGTCAGGGCAATTTTCAAACAAGTCATTCCAACTATCTGCCCATAAAGAAGATGGGCCCATACCCAAATTCACCCCATGGTGCCTCAACAACTCCACTGGTGGAAGTGTGTGAAGCATGCAGGTAGGAGAACTGGTGAAGGAGTCTGAGATGTCAGCAGGTGGGGACAAACCGGGATCCACCATCACTGCACCATTCACAGACAATGCCAGCAGCTCTCTTCCCTCCCTTCTAGTTCTCACTGACATCACATCCACTGGATTTCGTGTGTGTGTCTGGTAGACCAGCTGTCTCATTGTCACAGATGAAAATGTTTACCCCATGACATCCTGAGGCTTCTGGAATGACTCAGTAGAACTGATAAGGCTGCCTGGCAGTGGAGAAATACGTAAGTAAAGAAGAGCCTCAACCTCAGCTCACCCAAAAGCCTGTCCTGGGACCACTGAGAAACCAGAGAAATGACATAGTCAACAGAACATGAGGGGACAATACAAATGAAGGCACTCACAGCTCTCACGTCAAGTAATGGACCTGAAGAACATTCCCTCAAGAGGGCTGCCAGCTCCAGGTTCACATTGTCTGTCTTTAATCAGAGCTCCAACATTGTGAGCTTCTCATCCTGCCATTTTTGAGTTTGTGTCCATGTCATAGTCCTAGATTTTGTAAGCATCTCACTATATCCTAACACACCATTTTTTTACCTTGTGTGTAGGTATAACCCAACCACTTTGATCTTGTGTCTATGACACACCCCACCATTTAACAGCTTATTTCTAAGGTCCTGCTCTACCACATGCAAGTTTGCGTCTATATCCCACCCCACCATTTATAATCTTGGGTCTATGTACTGGCTGCAGCATTTTTAAGACACACTGTGTTGAATATTTCAGCACTCTAGTGACTTTTGTGAATGGGAAGTAACAATCAATCACTCACAGGCACAGTTATTTGGGTTGGATGAATGTCATTTAAGAGATGGCACATTGAGGACATCCTGATGCATAGAACACAAGAGGTCTTCCTCAGCTACTGGAAATTCATCGTGGTTAAAAATGCCTTCCCAGGACACCCATGCTGACTGAGTCCTCTGTTCAAACTCAGGCCTATGAATCAGAAGGTCTGAGAGACCATCAGCCTCTCCCTGCTCTCCCGATGGTCACTGAGGTGCCATTCAGAATCATGTGCATTCCCACACTCTGTGTGCAGATCTGATGAATGGTGAACCTGCCTCTTCAGTAGTCACTCTCAGACTGAGGACCTCAGCAATTTTTTTTACCAAAACAGGGCTCTGGATGTGTCTAGGACAAAAATATCCTCAGAGTGCTTTTTGTAGTCTCACTGGTCAATGGTTGGAATGAGCAGTGGGCACTTTTCACAGGGCTTCTGCAGGTAAATCACATTTAAAATATTCTTTCCATTCTCATTTACATTCTACCATTTCCAAAAAAAACACTGAGAGAAGTTGCCTTGTAGCCAGTTACGGGCCTGGAAGCATCACAGCACTAATTAATTACTATTCTGAGCACTTTGTCAGGTAAGACTAAGTTTCAAAACTGTGGCCATATTTCTTCTCTAGGGATTATTCCAGTATGATGAAGATCTTGAAAATATGCATGTTTTGTTTCAGCATCTCCAAAGTGCTGCTTAACATAGCACATACACAAGAGACTTAAGTAACCTCACACTTACAGGTATCTTTCCTCCTTGACCCACTGTCCTCTTCTACATTGAGACACACAATAAGGAGCCCTCCCATCACATGGCAGATAGCACGCTTCCTCCATAACATGGGTGTTACCTTGCCCTCCACCTGTTTGAACTGAACCTGACTGCTCTGTTGTCTATCAATAAAGGTTCCTTAAAAGTCCTACCCACACTCTACCATCAACTGGAAATTCACAGCTCCTGCAAGCCTGCACGCAGCATCCTACACTAAGGTGGGAAGTTCACCAAATGCCGGATGTGCCCATGCACCAGATAATGATGCCTACTAGGTTTTCCCATTTGTACATGACAGCTGCCAGACTTTGTTTAAAATACTGCTTGTTTATATGCAGAGATACACATCCAATCAACTGGGCACAGAGAGAGCCCAAATTGGAGATCTCCATGGGTTCCTTACCTGGGAGTTCTCAGGGCTCTCTAGGAAGAGGAAGAGGAAGAACTGTGGGAGCCAGTGAGTTAAAGGACACCAGAAGAACAGGGCCACAGAATCTACTAAGCAGGACTCATGTGGGCTCACAGACACTGAAGAAACAACCACAGAGCCTGCATGGTTCTCTACTAGGTCCTCTGAATGAATGTCATGGTTGATAGAACACTGCTCCTAAGGGACTCCAAACACTGTAAGTGACCACATCTCTGATGCTTTTAGTGCCCTTTAATGCAGAAATATTAGGCTACCCAAAATAAGGATATCCTATAATATTTTACTAAGGGAGAAATAACTTGGTCATCATCTCCAAGCTACACAAGTCCATATGGAGTTGACCTTATGTCATGCCTTAAGAGGTTCCAAGAAAGATGTCCCAAGTCCTGATGTCAGCACTGGAGGTCCTGACAGAGCTTCAGGGTCAAATCTCAGTCAGCTATAGGAGTTCCCATGTAGAATTTTTCAAGACACTTATGTAAACTATCATATCATCTGCAAATAGTGAAAGTTTGACCTCTTCCTTTCCAATTTGTATCCCCTTGATCTCCTTTTGTTGTCTTAGTGCTCTAGCTAGAACTTCAAGTACAGTATTGAAGAGGTATGGAGAGAGTGGACACCTTTTCTTGTTCGTGAGTTTAGAAGAATTGAATTGAGCGTTTCTCCATTTAGTTTGATGTTGACTGTTGGTTTACCATATATTGCTTTTATTATGTTAAGGTATGTTCCTGTTATTCCTGATCTCTCCAGGACCTTTATCATGAAGTGGTGTTGTATTTTGTCAAGGTCTTTTTCAGTATCAAGTGAGATGATCATGTGGTTTTTCTTGTGTAGTTTGTTTATATTGTGGATTTCATTGAAAGATTTTCATACGCTGAACCATCCCTGCATCCCTGGTATGATCATGGTGGATGATTTTTCTGATGTGTCCTTGGATCCTATTTGCTAATATTTTTATTGAGTATTTTTGCATCAATGCTCATGAGGGATATTGGTCTAAAATCTCTTTCTTAGTTGTGTCTTTCTGTGCCTTGAGTACAAAGGTAATTTTGTAACCTTGTAAAAAAGAGTTTGGCAATGTACCTTCTGCTTCTATTATGTGGAACACTTTGAAGAGCTTTGGAATTAACTCTTTTTTGAATTTCTGGTAGAATTCTTCACTGAAGCCATCTGTGCCTGGGCTTTCTTTGGTTGGGAAACTTTTGATGGCAGCTTCTATTTCATTAGGGTTTATAGGTCTGTTTAAATTGCTTATGTGTCTTGATTTAATTTTGGTACATAATTATCTATTCAGAAAATTATCCATTTCCTTTAAATTTTTGAACTTTTGTGGAGTACAGGTTTTCAAAGTATGACCTGAAGATTCCCTGGATTTCCTCATTGTCCGTTGTTATGTCCCTCTTTTCATTCCTGATTTTATTAATTTAAGTTCTCTTTCTGCCTTTTGGTCAGTTTGGATAAATGTTTGTCTATGTTGTTGATTTTCTCGAAAAACCAACTCTTTGTTACATTTTTTGTGTTGTTTTCTTTGTTTCGACTTTACTGATTTCAGCCCTCAATTTGATTATTTCCTTGGGTCTACTTCTCTGGGGTGAGTTTGCTTCTTTTTGCTCCAGAGATTTCAGTTGTGCTGTTAATCTCTAGTGTGACTACTCTCCAGTTGCTTCATTTAAGAACTCAGTGCTATGAAATTTCCTCTTAGTACTTCTTTCAAAGTGTCCCATAAGTTTGGGTATGTTGTGTCTCCATTTTCATTGAATTCTAGGAAGTCTTTAATTTCTTTCTTTATTTCTTCCTTGACCCAGGGATGGTACAATTGAGTGTTTTTCAATTTCCATGAGTTTGGAGGTTTTCTGCAATATGTGTTGCTGTTGAATGCTAACTTTAAAGATGGAGGTCTGATAAGATACACGATGTTATTCCATTTTTTGTACTTGTTGAGATTTGATATGTTGCCAAGTATGTGGTCAGTGTTAGAGAAGGGCTCATGTGGGCCTGAAAATGTATATTCTTTTGTGTTTGGATGAAATGTTCTATAGATGTCTGTTAAACCTAGTTGGGTCAAAACTTCAATTAGTTCTTTTGTTTCTTTGTTAAGTTTCTGTCTGGTGGTCATGTTTAGTGGTGAGAGTGGGTTGTTGAAGTCTCCCACTATAACTGTGTGAGGTCTTGTATGAGATTTGAGATTTAGTAATGTTTCTTTTATGAATGTGGGGGCCTTTGTATTTTGGGCATAGATGTTGAGAATTGAGACTTCTTCCTGATGGATGTTTCCTGCGATGAATATGAAATGACATATTTCATCTCTTTTGATTGATTTTAGTTTGAAGTCTAATTTGTTAGATACTAGGATAGCTACACCAGCTTGTTTCTTGTGTCAAACTGATTGGAAAATCTTATTTCAATCCTTTACTATGAGGTAATGTCTGTCTTTGAAGTTGAGGTGTGTTCCTTGTATGCAGCAGAAGGATGGATTCTGTCTTTGTATTCATTCTGTTAGTCTGTGTCTTTATATAGGCAAATTAAGACCATTAATATTGAGGGAGATTAAGGATCATTGAATGTTAATTCTTGTTTGTTTTTGATTTGTTGATGGTGGTGTTAAAAATATGGAACACTTCACATATTTGTATGCCATTCTTATGCAGGGGTCATGCTAAATTTCTCTATATCATTCCAATTTTAGTATATATGTTGCAGAAGCCAGGCCTGATACAGTGAGTGTGATCCGGATTATTGGATCTTTAAAGATCAGTTGTCTGTCCTGAGACTGATAATTTGCTGAGCGGTTCCAGGATGCAGTAGGCATTAGTCTCTTAATTGTTTAAATAAGATGTCAGAAGGCACTGAATCACCTCAAAGAGCAGTCTGATGGCTGGAGAGTTGTGGGCTTTACCTTTTATTTTGTGTTCTGTCTTTCTGTCTGTCTCTCTCCATCTCTTTTTCATGCTGTCCACGAATTCTGTACCCCATTCAGAAGTGAGGGCTATGTTTGATTTTGTCCACTAATGCTCATGGGAGAGAAGCTTTGTCCTATGAAGAGCAGTGACAGGAGTTGGTGAGATGTGTGTACTTGGTGGTATGTGAGAAGATCTGAACTTAAGGTCAGTTTGCCTTCAGAAGGTCTCTTATGCATGTCAGTGTTGTTTCTGTGTATGTCCTATGTGAGCAGACACGTGTTTGAGGTGCACACGTGACAAAGAGAAGGGTGCAACTGCTAGACTTCCACACATGCTTCAGGACTTGGCAACCTTGTTCGTGAGGTGGTCTTTCTATTGTATTGAAGTTCATGATTAGCCTGGGCTTGCTGGACAGTGATTTCAACATGTCAGCCCACCAATCTCTGCCTTACCAGATCTTGGATCCTGACAGCAAGATGCAATGCCTGGTTTTTGTTGCTGAAATCAGGTACTCAAGTTTGTACTTCAAGCACCATTGGAGTCTCAGCTAAATCCCCAGTCACGAAAAGGTCTTTCACACAGCAAGCCTTTCCCTGAGCCTGAACAGGTTTTACATTTGCTTTCTGAATGGTTAAGAGTTCAAATGTGTACCTGCTCTTGGATGTGCAGGCATCCAAAAATTTCAGGCATCCCAGATGGATCTTGAAGGAGTTAGAAAGAAAATGTTGGCCACAAATTTCGATGGTTCTGTGACTTTGAGTAGCTCATGGAAGAATGGGGAGAAAGGAGTGAAGGTTATGAAAACAAATTTTATGAAAATCTCAAAAAACATATAATTATAATGTTAAAGGCGTTTGATAGATGTCATGTACCCTAAGTTTCCCTCTCATTTCCTGTCTCAAGTGTGTGTGCTGTCACCCTGCTATATGCAGTAATACAAAGAGCTGAGACTTTACTGCTTGGGTCCTCAGCCTCCAAAACTGTAACCTAAATTTGTGAATGAGTTTTGCAGTATAGATACTCATTACTGAAAGAAGAATTTCATTAGGAGAAAGTTTCTTCATTCAGCAGGTATCAATTCCGGGCTGTAAGTTTCTTAATTGGACAGTGCAAATAGTCCCTCTGATGATTATTGAGCAGAGGGATTCTAGGAAAGAGAACACATGAAAATGCAAGACCAGGGAATCATAAGAAAGACAAGATGGTAAAACGATGTTTACCCAAACCTTTTGACCTGAATAGAGTTCCTGGAACCCGTGTGTTGCAAACACAGAACAGACTTCCCTTGTTATTCTCTAATATTAACATGTGTGTCATGACATGCACTTGTATGAACACAAAGCCACATACAACACACTTTTTAAATGTAAAAATATAATCCAAAATTGGAAATAATATTCTGGAAGGCATTTGGATTTAAAGGTGACACCATCTTCAGAAGCCCAGGTGCTCAAGTGCCCAGGTGCCCAGGTTCCCAGGTGTCCCGGTACCTAGAATTGAGGAACCCAGTTTGGAGTGTTTCTTACTCTGCCTTGTACCTTCCCTCAGCCAAGCACTGTGGCAACAAAGGACAAAATGATCCCACAGGCTGACAAAGAATACACGAATCAATTGCTAGTGATCCATTTCTTCCTATACACCTGTATATTCCTCTAAAATGTAATGTTCCTGCTTATATCCCCTCAAGTGACTTGAGGGAAAGAAACAGTGTGCCCCATGTCTCTCACATGCAAGACAGCTAGAAAGAACATGAGACGTTCAGTTCCTTGGCTCTAAGGATGTCTTTCTTTGTTCTCAAAACTGTTTGGACATCAACAGCACACTGTGTGGACAAGCCTGCCTCTTAGATGAATGTGTCCCTAACTCTTCCCAGGGGACTCTCCACAGTGGCTGCTAGGAAAAGATACCAATCAGGCAAGCAGCAGTACCATTTGGATAGTGAGTATATGAGACCAGAAAGCCGTTAATATTGCTGAAGGTGTGTGGATTTGGGGATTCACGGTCTTGCTGGAAGGTTGTCTATCATGTCAGCAGAGTAGGCATATTGAAGGACTCAAAGCAGTGTCATTTCTTTGTCTTTTCTCATGGTGCCCATGGTTTTGGTCCCTAAATGTCCACATTTCCCTGAAGCCCTGTAGGTGGCCCATTAATTTCCAGAAGGAAATTCTTCTCCCTCCCACAATTTCTTCTGTATTATATACCCAAACATCACAAAGCAAGAAACTCCATTGTAGTCTGAAGTTGTCAAGCAATTCCAGCTGACTCTCCCAGCATTAAGTCAAAGCTCAGATCAGACTCTGTAAGTTAGCAGGGGAAAGAAATGTTGAGGGCAACCATCAAGAAAGCAGGAAAGGGTATAAACCATAAGGATGCTCTTTCCAAAGACATCACCCCCACCTGTCTACCCCCAACTGCACAGTGCTCTGTTTTTCATGGGTCTTGTGTTGCCCAGGGCTCATCAGGAGGCCTCACTATGAATAGGGATGTTTGCACTTAAGGTGCACTTAAGGCCTGTAGGTGTCTCAGTTAGGGTTTTCTTGATGTGAAGAGTTGCACATGGCAACTCTTACATAGGGAAACCTTTAACTTGAGCAGGCTTACACTTTAGAGGTTTATTCCATTATCGTCATGGTGGGAAGCATGGCAGAATGCAGGTAGACATGGTGTTGGAGAGGTAGCAGACACTTCTACATGAGGATCCACATGCAACAGGAAGATGCAGTGAGTGAGACACCATGCCTTGCTTGAGCTTCTGAGACCTCAAAGCCCACTCCCCGTTGATACACTTCCTCCAACAAGGCCACACCTCCAATAATACCTCTCCCTATGCGTCTTTGGGGTTTTCATTCTGACCACCACAGTTACACATCCCATTGATTAGACTTTCTCATGACTGCATTCAAAGACCAGGTAATCATTAAGAAAGGAGACTGAACTGGGTATGTTGGGTCTCCCATTGAATCCCAGAAGGCAAGACATGAAGGCAGAGAAATCTCTGTTAATGTTCTCCCACTGTGATCACTTATGAACTTCTGGAACACTAACAGTTATGTAGAGTAACTCAAAACAACAACACAAACAAAACATAGTAGAGACTGAAGGCAGAATGCCTGGGTTCTCCTATTGCATTCACTAACTTTCATGCCTATTAAGCATGTTCCAAGTTGTTTTTCCTCAAGTTTGGTATTCACATTTGGTCACATGTACACTGTGATGGCCTCAAAATGCAGGGTATTTCTGTAGGGTTGACCACAACAGACACACGAAAGTGGTGGGATTTGGTCCATGGTGCCGGTCAGGCAAGATTAAATCCCACAATGGCTAACATATCAAGATAATCCTTTCCTTGCTGCCCCTGTGCCCTTCCCGAATTTGACCATCCCGTTCCTTCATGTTCATCTCCACATTGCCTTTCCTTCTTCCACTCTACCCTATCATGGCCATATATACATACATACATACATACATGCATACATACATACATACATACATTCATGCTCACTTATTTAGTGCTATATATTCGGAGTGAATATATGATGTGAGAAGTTTCACAATTTCCTTGGTTCTGTGCAGCAAGAGAGAATGGGAGAGGGAGACAGAGGTGTGAGAGGGAGAGGTGCTTTCTGGAATCATGAGAATTCTTTTGTGAGACCTTCAGACTGTGGAATCTAACCAATGCTCCATTTCAGCACTTTTATGAAAGTACCCTCCACATGCACCACACTAGGGCAGTCAGCACAGAAAGCAGAGTGTCTGGGGCTCAGACACCAGGGCCACTGAGGTGTGCACAGTCCCTTCTCCTTTTAGCACAAAAGGAAAGGGTCTCCCAATCTACACATTCTCACTGAAAATTCAATGGGTGATGAAGCTAGTGGCCAGAGTCAGTGTCCTTTGCCACTGTGTCTTTGCTTGTCACAAACAGGCTCAGAGCACCTTCAGGAGAGTCCTAATGTTGTGAAGACTGATATAATGAGCATGTCCCCTACATTCTTGCTTCAGGCCTGGATCCTGTAGAATGAATATGGTCATGTGGCAGTCTCCATGAACCCAGGCACTCTCTCCCAGTTACCTAGGCAACCATTAGGAATGTATCCTGTCTGAAAAATCTCTTTTTTCTCACAGGTTATTGACTTCCTCTGACATAGTGATTTTAGGATGAGATTAACAACCTACACCTTTGCCACTGCCTCTTTTCCAGAGTCCTCCCAGGGCCTCAAGCTGAGTCATGGCATTTAAGGAAAGGGGATCTGCAACCTCCCATGAGAGAAAATCAGAATGGTGTCTTGGGGGAATTTCTGTGTATTTCTAAATGGCTGGGAGAGGTTAGCACGGTGCAATCATACAGGTAAATCATGTGTAGTGATGAAATGCGCCGCAATGGCATCACCATGACAACTCCAATGAAGGCATAATTGGAGTCTCTCTTATACACCCAGCCTTTGTAACACACTTGAATTTTTGAGAGCTGCGGCAACATTCCTAAGGCACTGGAAATGTCTCGGGAAGATTCTGCCTACTCTCTTGTGAGTGTGAGAAACATATCCTGGTCTGTTCCTACAGAAAGCAGCTCCCCAAAGAAAGTGAGTCAGATAGTGGAAACACACTGTGGTGGGGGCTTCACTACTCAGGAAAGGTAGAAAGCAATTAATTAAAAGTGTACAGCTCACAGCTGGGGTGCCTGGTGGCTGGTAAAGTGTCTGGATCATAAGTGTGAGGGCCCGAGATGGGATTCCCAAGCATACTCAAAAGTGAGGCCTAGAAAGGAACACCAAAATGCTAACCACAGGAAAAGATCCATCACTAAATG